TTTGCCGACGATATAGTCCTTATGGCAGAAGATGACTTATGGATTTGAGACGTGGTCTTTCACTGCTGGCCGTATGAGGAAGTTCAAGGTCGCTCAGCGAGCTACGGAGAGGGTTATGCTTGGAGTTTCTCTGCGTGATCAACTTAGAAATGAGGATATTCGCGGTAGAAACAGTTTTTTTTCGCCAATGGTCACACCACCATTGACGGGAGTGTATTTTCAATTTCAACACAGTTGTTTTTTTGTACACAATCTGTTTTTTCATTTAGTAGACAATGCAGAGGTAATAAACCACATAAAATTATGTGGTAAAACCACTCTTTGAACTTTTCGAAATTCATCTCCTCATGATATTCTGTTGTTTTGGTTGCTTTGAAAGCCAACAAACAATTGAGTACGAAACCGTTTGTCGTCCCTGCGTGCGCAATTATCAGGCGTTGCCCTTTGACTTCGGACACTTTGGTGACTGATTGTGCCGTGTCATCAGTCCACGCTTTCGGTACAGTGAGGTTTGCATTAAGCTTCGTCTAGTCCAGAAATACGACTTTATCTCAAATTGAAATATGTTCGGCCTTTCTCAAAAAGTCCACACGGGCCAAGGCAATATCTGTGCGCTCCATTATTAATTTTCTTTTCAAACTGCCTTTAAATAAATCCGTCTTTAAGGGACACTATTAATTTTCTTAGTGTGGATATTCAGCACGTCTATAATAAGAGTATACTGTATAAATGGTTGCGTATTGCGGCGGCATCAAAGTCATTTATCGCAGTGGTACTCGAAACTCTCCTTTTTTTCTTATTTCTTATTCAATTTTTTATCCGTATCTTCCTTTATCGCTTGAGTTGATGATGGCTTGCCACACTTTTCTTGCGTTATACGAGGCACCGTCGCACGACCGATGCCAAGAGCCGCCATTTTGACACTCATGTTCAAAATAATCACGCAAGCGAACCACAAATTCGCGACATTCGCTACTCATCTCTCATCGTCTTTTTCATTCTTTTCGGCATTGTGTAACCAAAAATAACATGACATAAATTTAACGAAAAACAACAAAAACAGTAGATTTTTGATTTTAACAGTGGTAGAGCTTTTGCTGCCGCACGGATTTCTCGGCTCGAGCCGGGGTGGCACCAGGACCTCACAGAATACCAGCGTGAAGTAGAGGTTTACCTCTGCGTTGCGCTTGGTGAGTACTGGTGGCCGGAGGCCCAATCCCCCCCTCCCCCCCAATTTTTGTAACATCAGGGGACTTCATTCCAACCTTAACGCTGTCCATTACCATCTAGAGACGGCGAAGCCGGCCTATTATATTATCGACGCCTCAACAGTCTTGAAGGTACGGACCTGTCCATCCTACGGCTGCGCGTAGACAGCGACGACCATCCCCGCCTCAATGGGTGCCTTTATAGGTCTCATAGCGGTAATCCCGAAACAGACCGACTCATCGACCACGTCCAAATGTCTGCAGACTCCGTGCTACAACAGGTCCCATCCGCAGAGATCGTGATACTCTGTAATCTTAACGCCCACCATGCTGAATGGCTTGGTTCCCGTTTAACCGATCATGCGGGCAGATCTGTCTATGACTGCCTTGGCATATGGTCTAACACAACTGGTTACTTCGCCTATGCGGATCCCAGATGTGGAGGATCATGTACCTTCCCTGTTGGACCTTCTGCTGACTTCTCATCCGGACGGATATCAGGTCTCCGTCGATACCTCTCAGGGCTCTTCGAACCATTGTCTGATCCGGAAGACGGTGCCACTCACGCTCCCATCGCAGTTGCAAACTGCAGCATGCCGCCGTGGCACTATACTCGGCCGATTGGGACTGGATGCGGTCTTTTTTGCATCCTTCCCTTGGGGGCGGGTTTGCTTCTTGCCGGAGGATCCCAGCGTTGTTGCCGATTCTGTTGCTGATGTGGTACTTCAGGGTATGGAACTTTTTATTCCATCTTCTGTGCCCATCAGAGGCAGATCCCAGCCATGGTTTGGTCGCTTCTGTAAAATAGCATCACGCTATAAGCAGGAGTGCTACCGGGCCTGGGCTGAGGCATCAACGTCTCGATATGTAAACACCAGCGCTCTTAAAAAGAAGTATAATTCCGCCTCCAGGTATTCAAAAGCGTCATTGCCAAGGCAAGGTTTGAGCACATCGGCAGAATTGGTGAGAAGCTAGTTCGCCTTCCTTCGGAAACCCGTGCATTCTGGTCTCTCGCCAAGGCTGTCCAAGGGAACTTCTGTCAGCCATCTCTTCCATCTCTGCACAGAGAGGACGATTCACTGGCCCATGCCACAAAGGAGAAAGCCGATCTTTTAAGCTCTCTCTTTGCATCCAACTCGACTCTAGATGACGGGGGGAACACAACGCCGACCATCCCGCGGTGTGAGTGCTCCATGCCGGATGTGCGATTTACACAGCGCTCGGTTCGTAAAGCACTCTTCTCCCTGGACGTCAGCAAGTCGAGTGGACCTGATGGAGTCCCTCCCATTATGCTGAAGACGTGTGCTCCGGAGTTGGCACCGGTTTTAACGCGTCTTTTCCGGTACTCCTATTTCCAAGGCGTAGTCCCGAATTCATAGAAGACAGCTTTGGTCCACCCGATCCCTAAAAAAGGCGACCTCTCAGACCCGTCCAACTACAGGCCTATCGCCATTACCTCCTTGTTCTTCAAAATAATGGAATCCATTATGAACTGCCAGCTGATGAGGTACCTTGAGGATCACCAGCTGATTAGTGACAGCCAGTACGGTTTTCGTCGGAGTCGATCAGCTGGTGATCTTCTGGTCTACCTGACTCATAGATGGGCGGAGGCAGTAGAGTCCGAGGGGGAGGCATTGGCCGTTAGTTTGAACATAGCGAAGGCCTTCGATTGGGTCAGGCACAAAGCGCTTCTTTCGAAGCTTCCTTCCTATGGGCTTCCCGAGAAATTGTGCATATGGATCACCAGTTTCCTTGCTGATCGGAGCGTCAAGTTCGTAGTAGACGGTGCATGCTTTGATTTCAAGCCTATCAAGGCTGGTGTTCCACAAGGCTGCGTGCTGTCACCAACGTTGTTTCTCCTGCATATCAATTATATGTTGCAAACTGATAACATTCATTGCTATGCGGACGACAGCACTGGTGATGCCTTATATACCGGCCGTGCCAATATTTCTTGGGAAAACGTCGCCGAGTATCAAAAAAGACAAGTAGACAAACTTGTGTCTGATGTCGAGTCTTTGCTGAACAAAGTCTCGGATTGGGTGCGACTTAATCTAGTCCAGTTCAATCCCCAGAAGACACAAGTTCGCGCGTTTTTCGCTAAAAAGAACCCCTTTGTCGTATCTCCTCAGTTTCAAGCCACTCTCCTTGTCTCCTCAACTAGCATCGGAATCAAGGGCGTCGACATATCTAATAGTGTGCAGTTTCGTGGTCACTTGAAAGGGAAGGCCAAATTGGCCTCTAAAAAGCTTGGCGTGCTCAGCAGAGCGGGACAGTATTTCATGCCGACACATCGCTTGCAACTTTACAAAGCGCAAATCCGGCCTCATATGGAATACTGTTCTCATATCTGGTCTGGGGTACCCCAGTGCCAGCTCCTTCCACTTGACCGCATCCAGCGCAGAGCGGTTCGAATCGTCGACGACCGAGTTCTTTCTGATCAGCTCGATACCCTGGCACTGCGTAGGGATGTTACATCCCTTTGCATTTTCTATCGAATTTACCACGGGGAGTGCTCTGAGGATTTGTTCGGATTAATGCCAGCCGCCAAAATTTACGAACGCACATCGCGTCAAAATTCACGATATCATCCTCACCAACTGGAAGCTTGGCGGTCCACGACTGTGCGTTTTACTAGGAGTTTTATTCCTCGTACAACTTCTCTGTGGAATTGTTTACCACCGGCGATTTTTCCGGACCGATACGACTTAGGGACCTTCAAGAAAAGAGCTTACACCTTTCTAAAAGGCCGGCAACGCATCTGTAATTCCCCTGGTGTTTTGGTTGTTCATGGGCGGCGGTAGTCACTTACTATCAGGTGAGTCGAATGCTCGTTTGCCCCCACTTCTATAAAAAAAAGATAGCACAAAATAACAAAAACTGAACGAAAGCGTATACAAGGCTCTAACGGAGCAGTGTCAGAACCTCCACCGGAAATTCTGAGCACCCCCTGTCCCGCCGTTACCATGGTCGCCACCGTAGCCAGGAATAGTGGGGCCGCCGGGACTAGGGGCAGTCTGTTCGTAGCTTCATTCATTCATGGGAGGTATATTGCCATAGTTGCCACGCTTGGCAACTGCAGTTTTTTTATTGTTATTTTGCTGTTATCAGAAAGATGCTTCTGCCCATCTTCTGTCTCAGTTTCCTTCTGTCGCCTCTAAAGACACCCACGGCAAGATATTAGGTAGTGAGTATTCTTACCCGCCATTAAGCGGGGCATAATATTCAGATTAATATTGACACTTTATAATTATGGTTTAAATACGAATTTTCGATTAATACATCCATGACTGACCTCTGGCCATCATGTAAAGATGTAAACTGCGGTGAGGCAGTATCGAAACCTTACTTTAGTATTAGAGCCCCCACAAGAGAAGACGATGTTGACGTGTTTAAATCATGCACAAGACAAGTTATATGTGTCTAAAGGCGTAGATACGAGATACGAGCCACCTTCTTCAGTCTTTTCTGACGCTATGCCACACACATAACACTGTAGCTTTAGCTGTGGCATTTGCACTTAGATCACTTAAAAAAATGCAGACTTTTCAAAAAATTGTCTTTGCAGTAGCAGCATAGAAACAAAATATGATCTAGGAGTTGGTGTACTGACGTTGCAGATCACTCTCCAGATGGCTCCCAGAAATGTCAATTTCATAGTGTTCAAATGAAAACAGTTTATTATACTTATACTTGTAATCGTTTTAAAATATATTACTATTTACAAATTTCTTTATATCCCTGTAGTATTTCAATACAAAATAGTGTAATAGGAATTATACTTCTCTCCTATCATGGCATAATAAATTTAATGACATTTTTCCCATTAAAATAACATTTTGGACATACGAAATCTGGATCAGCAGCTTTGTTAGCCTGGAATACAAAAAAATAGAAGCGTAAAAAAAATACTCCTACTACTTCTAGATGCACAATATTATCAAAAAATGGCTTTTCTTACCATTAAACAGTAGTAGCAGAAAATATGTGAACAACCCATTATATGAGGTAGGACTGGTTTATTAGAACAGTAAGCACAAATTGTGTTTAATGTCATTATAGGTGATCCTGAATTGCTATTAGCATGCACGTTCTTACGCCACCAAACATACTTCAAGATATTGCTTAATCTTCTCTTTAATCCAAATAAATTTATCAATGAGACTGCTGTACCAATTAACTCCTGTAATAATTAAAAAAAAAACTAAAATGTAATAGCCTTTAACAAATAAAATAATGTACAGGCTGAACATTCTTTACAGTTTTGCTGTTCAGCATTGAAATTTTCAAAGCTAATAATAAATTTTGAAATTTACAAATATAAAAATTGTTAAATGTCTGTGCTGTTATGTGCAATATGTAACAATATATTATTTTTTTAAGAACAAAGGAAATAAAAGAATAGAAACCATCATTTTTACAGAGTAGAGCCACGGCTAAATTATGGTTGTCGGAGACCCTTTTTACTGGAAACGAGGCATTCCATCTCAGTCCTCAGGGATGACAATACATCTGCCTCTATGGGCACAGCATCCACTTACCATGAGATGGACTGTGAGCATGTTTGTCACCCTTATCCTATTAAAAAATTAATTATCTTCACTAGCATATTGACATTCCAGTTTTTCCATAGTTTAGATTGTCAAGTATAAGCAATCTAATCAAGCACTTTTGATTCTACTATCACTGGTCTGGATATTTAGCATTTGGTATTAATATAAGACAGAGCCGAAATGTGGACACTGACAATAAGGTTACTCCACAAGTCACTCAGCGGGCTATGCTATGCACATATAAGCAAACATAGTGTAGGACGCCTCCTGACTAAATGGAATGATTTTCTGCACAAAGTGGTAAGAAAACCTCGGGGAAAGCCATGTGTGGCAGTGGACTGTGGCAGACTGACGATGATAAGACAGATATGCTGAGATAAGATAAAATTATCCATTAGAGGCCATTGTAATGATGATGAATGATGAAGTATTTCACTAAATTGCTTCTTAAGCACCTGCCATTATTACCCTAATGTAGTATAAAATAGCACATTGTACCACCTAACTTTTAGATAGATAACCCTTTTCATTTTGTTGTTTATGGAAAGCAAAATGAAAAGTCAATAATGGTTCTATTTCAAAGTTTATTTCAAGCAATGAACAGTAACAGTATGTTATATTACTGGTGATTATATTGGAGCTACAGTTTTATAAAACATAATAAATATGACTGGATATTGGTATAAATTACTGTTACAGCCTATTAAAAAATTCCACTGCTGAACATAGGCCTCCTCATAGGGGGGATATTTGCCATAGTTGCAATGCTTGGCAAGTGGGATGGCCAATGCAGTTTTTTATTTTTAGTCATTATTAGGAAGACTGCTGCCCATCTCCTTATTTGTATAAATATATAATATATATTATGGTATAAAGTACTTACAATAAGATTATGCCACAGAAGTTCACGAGTCCATGAAAGATCAGTAAGATCTTCCCTTGCAAGTTTATCTGCTGTCAATTCAAGACCAAGGATGAAATCTATTAATATAGGATGTTTTCCAGTTTGAATGAACCTAAGGAAATTAAAAATATCCCCAAATAACTGAAAAGTTTCCAATTTGTTGAAAAAAAATTGTACTTTAATGTTTGATGTTAAACTATATAATGCTCTGTCTCTAAGATATCTTAAGCCAACTGTATAGCCATAGTACCAATAAAGTTTACTTTTTGATATATTGCTCTTGTTATATTTTAAGGACAGCATTTGTTGTCCAAATGTACAGTTTTTATCACATAGTGAGTACTTAAATATCCAAGTTCGTAGTAAAAGTTCAAGTTCCGGTAAAATTGGTTGTAATATTCCAGGCTGAAAAAAAAGAAACATTTAGCATAAACACATACAATGTAATGAAAAATATAGGTTTGTGTGTAGGAATCTGGTAAAAAGTTATAAAGTTGAAGATCCCAGACTTAAACCCTATCCAATATTCTGAATGTGTTGTGGTAGATCAGGAGCACAGAGCTTACCATAAATTTGCAGTACTCAAGCAACCCTAGTTGGTCAATCCCCAGCAGCACCAATGAAAATTATAACACTGATTAACAATGTGACCGGCAGTGAAGGGAAACATTATCAGGAACTATATTATGTCGAGTCATTATGAGGAAATATGCATTTTTAAGAAATAAAATATTTTTATGACATGTAAAGTCTGGCCTGCGAACACCGAAGCAGCACAATTGACTAATTGGTCCATAGTCGTTTCAGAAATGAGAGGATGCCTGTGTCTTGCCTTGTTACCAATAAAGGCTATAAATTTAAATTTGAATTAAATTATCTGTGATTAATTATTTATCCTCTATTTCTTTTATTTCTAATAAAAAAGAAATAAAGGGCATACATTATGTAAAAAACAATTTTGCTTAATTTTCATAAGCAGTGTTTGGCTTATAATTTACATAATATTAATTAAATTTTGTACTTTGTGGCAGCCTATGGGGGAAGCCTATGTTCAGCAGTGGACTAGTAATGGGACGTAGTATGTAGGTGTAATTCAAAACAATACAACACTGACCTCCAGGAATTTTGTGGCATTGAATAATAATTGTTTAAACAGTTCTTCCACTTGTCCATCCAATTGTACCGAATCTAGCTGAAAAAATAACAAAACTTTGGCACATTAAAATGTATATTACCATAAATTTAAAAAAAAATATTTACCTGGGTTACTCTCGGAATATATGTGATAGACATATTATATAGAATCGAATTGCTTCAAATATAATTTATCACGTAATATACCTATCTCGACCACGAAAAAATAGTGCCCTGTTCTGTGTTACATCTTCATATTGACTTTAAAGTTTATTGAAGTTTATGTAATAACTTATAAACGTAGTGATTTTATACATATTTATATTAACTAATAATAATTTTAGGTGGTAAATTCGTAGTAAATTCCTTATGAACTTTAAAATTTATTTTTGTTTAGCGAACTGTTAGATCACAGATAGTTACTTTCAGTATATAAAAAGTACTCTGTGGATAGTTACTATACTCTTTGGATCACAGCAAAGAGTATAAATAATAACTGTCCTATACAGTATGGACTATGGAGTGTAGAGTAGAAGGAGAACCATCTTATAAGGAGCGAAGGTTGAAAAAGTGTCCTACTATTTACTGTAAATAGAGGTTCCAAAACCTACCACAATAGCGCTGGCGTCTGAAAAACTACGATATGAAGATAGCTGTTATGAACGGAGTGAAGTCAGCTGAATTCAAATATTTCATGACTAGAGTAGTTAGTAAAACGCCAATATACAAAATCTCAACTATTTACGTAGTACAAAACCAAGCGGATTGATCGGTCCTTATTTATTTCTCCATCTTATTCTAAATACTTTTGGCGCTTCTTTTTTAATTTATCCTATGCTACTGCAGCGCCACCCTTATTGGACACGTTTTTAGGGACACTTTTCATATACAGAGATGGTCCTCCTTCTACTCTACACTCCATACTATACAGTATGGAGTGTAGAGTAGAAGGAGAACCATCTTATAAGGTGCGAAAGTTGAAAAAGTGTCCCAATATTTACAGAAAATAGAGGTTCCAAAACCTACCACAATAGCGCTGGCGTCTGAAAAACTACGATATGAATATAGCTGTTGTTGACGGAGTGAAGTCAGCTGAATTAAAATATTTAAAAAATTTCATGATTAGAGTAGTTAGTAAAATGCCAGTATACAAAACCTCAACTATTTACGTAGTACAAAACCAAGCAGATTGGTCGGTCCTTGTTTATTTCTCCATCTTATTCTAATAAATTTTGGCGCTTTTTTTTTAATTTATCCTATGCTACTACAGCGCCACCCTTATTGGACGCGTTTTTAGGGACACTTTTCATATACAGAGATGGTTCTCCTTCTACTCTACACTCCATACTATACAGGAAGATCACAGTCACAGCACTAATTAATAATACCTCATTTACACCACAGAACACTAATACCCTTAGGCGGGATTTACACTCTCGCGCATAGATTACTGTATATAATATATATACTAGAGATAGATGCGCTACTCAAATTTAATTTTCTTTAGTGTCGTGCTTTGCCTAACAGACAGTGCCTACAAAAGAAAGAACTTGAAAAAAAGGCAAAAAATAAATACGTCTGCTGGACGCGATCCGGGGTCTTTAGATTTCGGGACCGCCCGATTATCCCCCTGAGCTATTATAACCTTGTGAAATTTATCTTCGTATTCTAATAATATTTTAGCAGTTTTTCATTGTCTGACAACACAGATAAAATGGCATTTTCTAAAAATAAATAATGTTCAATAAATATTAATAACAATTTAAGCGTAACTAGTGACCGCTACTAACTGCGTAGTGCGCGTGGATTATTGCGTATGCATAGACTTAATATATAAGTGCCCTCTAGCGAGATTAAAATAAGTCTAGCCTAGCGCTTCGGAATGTAGATGGAAGCACATAAAACTTATCATTTTGTTCGTAAAATAATGTTCTAAGTTGCACCCCCATACCAGACCAGAGGCGAGTCGCGAGGCGAGCCACGAGGCGCGAGTGTAAACGCTAGTTCGTGGCTCGCCTCGCAGCTCGTCTCGCCACTCGCGGCGCTCGCGTCGGAGGTGGTTTTTTGGGCACGAGGCAAAGGGCCTCGCGAGGGACGCGAACATGGTGTTTACACTTGCGCTCTCGTTTCAGTTTGTTTACGGCGCCCTTCTGTGCAGGTTGTGTTGTTTTTTTGGGTTTACACGTTCGACTTCAATTAAAAATGGACTAGTCGCAAGAAGAAATGCTACAGTTCTTGGAACTCTATCAGGCTGAGCGAATAATTTGGGATCCAAAACATTATGCATAAAAATACCCAAAAAGTAAATGATACGTGGAATAGAATTTCCGAGGTTATGTGCAGACCGCTAGCAGAGCTCAAAGTAAAAAAGAATTCGCTTATGGCTACCTTTCGTCAACACCTACGAAGAAAAAAAGCAATTTATGAAATCTTTGAAAAAAATCTATGAAATTTATTAATTCCTTCTTTTTAAAATGGTCAAGCGTCGATAAATATTTATTAAAGCAAAAGTTGATGCCGCTATTATTTCGACGTCTTCCATCGTTGCTGGTTCAACGTGGTTCAACGCAAACTGTCTCCGGTATTATATATTAGTCTATGGCAAACTGAACGCATTGCGAGAGTGTAAACAGGCACTCGTTACCTCGCAACCACAGAGTACATTATATATAGGGAACAACCCTCGCAACAACACGCGAGCTGCGAGCCGAGAGTCTAAATGGGGTGTTATAAATATCACGGAATGGGCCCCAGCTAAAAATTTTAAGAGCACATAAGGAACTTAATATTTTGGGTTTCGGGAGAAAAAATTTAAAAGACAACTTACTATAAAGTTAAAAAAAAGTATAAAATGACATCATTTGGATTAGGGATGTCGATGATCATCGATGTTAAAAATTAAAACTTCGATGTTTTAACATCGATGTTGACACATGTCAAACATCGAAACGTCGTTGTCAATAAACCCATAATCGATTAATGGGAACTTGCGAACAATGCAAACCCGCGAAATCAATATCAACTAAATCATGATAATTTTGAAAAAATACAATATTTTAATATATACAATATTAAAAACTATAATAATAAAAAACTAAAACTAGTAACTTAATTATCATACAGTCCTACTCCCCGCCATATCGTGTCAAGAACGCTGGCTGCGTTTTCCCGCTGAATAGTTATACTTAGCCCTTGAGTGAGAAAACAACCAGCCCTCTTATCACCAGCAGCAACGACCACCCGCGGATGGAGTTCCTTTGGACCCCACGGACCGATAGTCTTTACAGCAAATGGCACAAATATGTAGTCATCTCTCAGAAACTCATATTTGCGCCACTTACTCAGTTCAGCTGCCTCTGACGCTGCCCCAGCTCTAAACGAGGTACTCCTGAGATGAGAGCCCGCCATAGTGTCTACGCAAGTAGCATCCCACACTAGGGATTTACCTCTCTCCTAAGGGACCAAAGTCATACCGTCGGGTCTCTTGCATCGTCTCTAAATATTCCACAAGCCTCTAAAACCGAGGGAACATTTATAGATACAAGAGCCATTCGGATGACATCATTCAAAGAACCGTGCCTTGAAAACCTACCAGAACTATTTTGAATAATTCAGAATTCCTGAACGCATCGCGAACCTAAAAAAATATCATTATGGTGTGTCAAACTTAATTGTCAAGTGTGTTACCTGTAATGTCACAGTGGTCACCACAAATTATAAAGTTGTATGTACAAGTGGTCACTGCTTTCGCTTTATTTTGTAGTGTCGTTTTTTGTTGTCGCATAATAACTATTCTACGTAAATTGATATTCAATTTAATTGCTACTTTTTCCCTTGCTGTGTATACCCATATAATTTTGAAACAATATGTAAGTATCTACACATGTACAAAAAACATCGATAATGGTTAACCTCGATGTTTCGAGTAGGCTAAGCATCAAACATCGATGATGAGCTATCGATGCCAACATCGATGTCATCATCGATGTTTCTGCAACATCGATCATCCCTAATTTGGATTCGGAATTTTCATAGATATACAAGTCGGGCTAATTGACATTAGGCTATTTATTTATCTATGCATTAGACATGTAGATTGTAGATTCACTTAAAAAGAATCGATCTCCGATTCGATTCAAATCGAACATCCTATAATCGAGTCTTGATTAAATCGAGCATTAAAAGATCGATTTTCGATTAATCGCGACATTTTCAAACATGCCTAATAATACATATTATAAGAAGAGTGCAGTTTGCACTTTTGTTAAAGTATTATTACTTTAACAAAAGTGCAAACTGCAACGTACATTCTTCAATAAATCAAATTGAAATGAATGGTACACGAACACAGTACTGTTTATTTCGTTACAATAAACTTCAACATATTATATTTACTCACAGTATATTTTTATTAATAAAGCAAATTTTCAGCAGAGATTAGGTTACACGCCGGGATGTTTCGAGTACGATGTATTATGTACGCAGCACTAATCGCCATAACTTCCTCGGGCGACATTTCTATAAGCACTGACTAGTGTGGCCTGCAAAATATTCTGCGACATATGTCTCGGGACATTCCAAGTAGTTGTTGAGCGATAATGTTGCGCAACATGCCGCTCTTTTTGTCCCCAAGCATATTCAAGTCTTAAGTGACGTAAATTTTACGTAGTGTAGCCACGTTGCAGCTATATAAGTTGTAGCACGAATGCGTCGGCTTGGCCGGCGTAGAAACACGTTCTCACAGAAAACCAGCGTAAAATAGCAGCTTAAGGTTGCTGTGTTTCGTATGGTAAGTGTATAAAACCAGAGAACCTATTAATGGAAACAAAGCATTTGATCTTAATTCTCAGGACTGACAACGCATCTGTATTTTCGAGGAAATTAAGATGTCTATGAGCTCTATCATATATCTATATGAGCTCATGTCTATCCACTTAACATCAAGTGGACTGTGTCAGGCGTGTCACTTTGTAAAAATCTGAGGTATGGAAAATGGTGGCGCGATTTTCAAATTTGTTCGCATTACTCGTGGGGTATTAAGGTTTAAGAGTTTGCAGTGTATATACTCAACTTATTTATTGAACTATAAGATGTGGGGTATTGAGGTTTAAGGGCTTGCGATTTATTTATATGGGGTTTGTAGTAATATGCGATTTATT